TGAGCTATTATTTAGAAGAATTATCAGTGAAGGTGTTGGTATTTTTTTATAGAAATGAGTATCTAATGAACAGGGAGTTGACTGAGAACAAGAAAAATTTCGATAACCTAGATAATAGAGAAGAGAAGTGTCAATAACATTGGATGATCATACTACTGATTGACTGCTAGAGAGCACTCTAACAAAGAAAATTGTATATGCCTGTAAATGAATATGTTTGTGTGTGTCTCTCTTCTTTTTTTTCGTTCTTTTCTTGCTATCTGTCGTCTTATACATCCACACGCTAAGATAAAATGTTTCATACTTTGCAACACAATACACGAGTCATTAAAGTACGATACGATATGCTCGTTGCGACATACTCTGAAACCATGATTCGAATCAATTTTTCGACTCGTCGACTATTTTTTCTAAAAAATCGAAAGTGACTCCTTTTTTAGTTTAAGTCAAATTAGCAATAACCTATACTTAGATTTAGACAATAAGATCTTAAGATCTCCAGTCCTGAGTCAATTTGATCTCGATCAGATCGCTTCAAGGCAGTTCATTCATGATCAATTTCTTCACATGTTCTCGGATATAAATGACTAATCTAGAAAAAGAATATATACGAAAATGTATAAATTGGGTATACTAAATAGAATTGTTTATAGGTAGTTGTATGCGCGAAATAAAACACTGAATGACTAGTGCGCCGATAGACTACGATACATTTATGGTAAGAGACATTCTGATTGCAACATATTTTCGTGGTAGAGTGGGCGATACTATCATGAGCGGCACATAAATACGACGCATTTTATTTAAGTGGGCTGCTCTATTCATTGATATTGTTAAAAGAAATAATTATCATTTTAAGTAAAGAAGAAAGAAAACAATTATTCAATCTCTTGATGATTTTGGTTGATGAGCTACCATTTTCTGAGAGTTTCTCGTTGGATGTAGATGTGAATATCTATCGTATCTCTTTTTTTTTTGGAGTCTTTTGGTCCACATGGATGTAAACAAGGAAATAGAAGAAAAAATTGGCAGCTGGGTACGCATTGAATAGAATGAAGTGTGTATAATCATCTGGGTCAATGTTATTGTTTTATAGATTCTCACTCATACCGAAATGAACATATATATGTATCATAGGAAAAAAAAGCGAATCATGTGTTTGACTATTGTTCGGAAAATTCTATAGATTTCTATTCGTATCTGATAATCAATCATGTTTTCTTTTTGTTTCTCTATACTTGGTATATTATTTTTAGATCAACGACCATCAAAAAGTTTTTGGGTTATTTTACGTTTGGTTTTATTTGTTCTTGTGATTGAATTTATAGAAGCAGTTGAAACAGCACTTACTGTACCGATTTTAACATCACTACATGTAGACGAATCGTATGTTCTTTTTTTTTAAATTTTGTTTTATTTTCAGTTTTTATTAATAAAGGTACTATTCAATGGCTTGGCTTATAAGTCCAATTCTTGGTTTTTTTCTTCAACCAATTGTTGGTATGTGGAGTGATACATGTAAATGTCAATGGGGAAGACGAAGACCATTTATTCTAGCATTTGCCATTGGTAGATTTATTTAGAAAATATTTATTTGAAACAAAAATAAAATTTATTCTTTAAGGTGCTTATATCGGTATTGCATTGTTATTGAATAGTTCAGATTTCGGTGAACTTTTCGGTGATTCAACTGCATCTGAAACGGTTAGTTTGTCTTCAGTTTTATGTATTTTCTACTTTATTTTTTGGAGATTCCAATTAGAGCAGTTGTATTAACAGCTGTTGGAGTTACTTTAATTGGTAAAAAAAAAAAAGAATAAACAATTATGTTTGATTGATTAATTGTGGAATATTATTTAGATTTTTGTGCGGATAGTGCTAATGCACCTATACGTGCTTATTTGATTGATACAACAAATCCATCGGATCAAGAACGAGGATTTAATATACATGCTATTCTTGGTAAATGAATGAATTTTTCGAAAAATTATTTTTTTTTTTGTTTTTATTTAATTGTAGGAGGTAGAAAATGATGATATGTTGGTAATGAAAACAATATTTATTTTAAATAGGTTTTGGTGGAGGTTTAGGTTTTATTGTTGGTACAATAAAATGGACACATATTTCGATGTTTAAGAAAGATGGTAAAAAATAAATAAATATTTCAAAAATTTGAATGAATTATTTTTGATGTAGGTGGTGAATTTAGTGTGATTTGTTATATTGCTACCTTTTTATTTATTGTATGTACAATATCAACATTAACAAGCGTTCGTGAAGAACCACTTATAGCATCATCATCACGTGATAATGGTGATACAAAGAATTCAAATGATTATGATGAACAGCCAGAAATAGACGTTGATGAAAAGCGTCCGTTACTTTCACCGCGTCGAAATAGTTCACGATCATATAATTCATCAAATAAACCAATTCATTCAACAGCAAATATATATTTTCGTGATTTGAATAAACAAGAGGGATTTGTTGAAATTGATTCAGCTATAGGGGAACGTATTCCTCATGATCATGTTGTTGAGAGACCATGTGAAAATATTTTATTTAAAACATTCCAAAGCGCTCCTCCAGTTACAGCTGCACGAATATCAAATTCCGATCCATTCAATCCCACTACCGTAGAAACACAAGAATTTGACGCTGAACTACTTCGAAAAACAAAATTAGTCAAATTAGGTATTCAATCGTTTTCAAACTTCTTCACTTCATTTTATCTGTTTTTTCATAATTAAGGTTTTATGCGACGTCCTGCATCTCAAGACAATGATGATTGTGATGACAAAGATAATGTAACAATTAAATCAATGATTATCTCAATGGTTCGCGTATGTATTTCCTTATGTTTATTACACAAAATATTCTTTTAAAAACAAAAAAAAACAGATACCTGCTCGATTATGGAAGTTAATGGTATGTCAGGTGATTGGTTGGATTGGTTATTTTGCTACTCATTTGTATTTTACTGACTTTGTGGCTATAGTAAATATCGAATATTTTATCGAAATAATCTTGATATTTTCTTTCATTTTTAAAGGAAGTATATAATGGTACAATGAAACATGGTAGCGATGATCCCGGTTTTTTCCGTTATAAATTAGGTGTGACAATGGGTTGTTGGGGTTTATTTGTATTTTCAGCTAGTGGTGCCATTTATGCTTGTAATTTAAAAAAGAAAAATATTTTTCTTTTTTGAATTATTATATTCTAGTCTGTTTGGAACGATGGTTAGCAAACAGATTTTCTTTAAAAGCGCTTTATTTTATTGGTTATTTCATTTATGTACTTGGTTGTACGGTGAATTTTTTTTTTCATCAAGTTACTGTTAATATTGCAATGTGTTTTACTTGTAAGTTTATTTTTTCATTCAATTTATTATTATTATTTATTATTATGAGAATTTCAGTTGGAATATTAGTTGTATCATTAAATACTCTTCCTTATCAAATGCTTTCGCAATTTCATGCAGATAAAACAGTAAAGATTAATTGAAGTGTTTCTTATTTTGAAAAAAATGTGTTTTATAGTATAGAAATAGGGATGGATCAAAACGTGGCATCGGTATTGATTGTGCATTATTGAATAGTTGTCATTTTCTTGGTGAATTGATAGTGGCTGTTTCTTTAGGTCCATTACTAGCAAAAACAGGTGTAAATTACTGTATGGTAATAGCTGCTGGATTTACATTAATTGGAAATGTATGTATGTTTTTCTTATTCTATTTTAAAAATTGATATATATCTAAAAACACAATAGTATTTATTTGCATATGTATTTCGTAATTTCTTTTTATATATTTAAATGAAACGTTTGTGATGATTATTCAAAGTCAGTTTTCTGTATTTGTAGTGATTTTTTCTTTTCATGCCATTTATTTATTGTATTGTATTTCTTATAAATATGTTCATATGGTCCGAGATTTATTCATTCCAAATGAACATGATTATTTAATTCAACAAAGATATATCAAGTGATTTATTGTCTTGATAAAAATAGATACAATTCGTTTCTATCTCTGTGACGGTAAAGCTACTTCTCTAGCTTGTCGTTATAGTACCTCCTTATCTAATGTAGAAAAAACTCGTAGTGGTATGTATGTCATATTCTGCAATGTTTTTGTGACATATAATAAGATGAAGCTTAACATGTACGAAAGCTGACATTTAGGCACTAGAGAATGATGAATGCATTTTTTTTTAAAAAAGCACGAAGTAATCTTCAGATATTTGTATTTTTTTGTTAGTAAGTGTTCAGTGTTTTCTGAAAGAAGAAATTTCATGATGAGAAGATTCATCGCCGCCAATAATTGATCGATTCTTGGAATTGTGTTCTGTAAAATTTCGTTCGAACAACGAATATAACGAAAATACTTACGGATGGAATGAATGAAATGATATAACCCGCAAGATATAGCCATGAACTATGGTTGTTTTTCACACATCCTGATAACGTTGAAATTAGCAGACGAGGTAACGATAGAATGACTAGAATTACTGGACCTATAATGAGATTTTTGTGTTCGTTCAATTGTTGATGCAGATGTTGTTTATAGTTTAGCCGTTTTTGGATTCTTACTCGTCGATCAACACCAGTGAAAATAATGAGTAAAGCAGAAAAGAGATTAGCACAGGAAGGACCAAAGAAATGAAACAATAAGATGGCTGTATTGTATATATGAATCGAACGAGAATAAGGAAGAACACACCATAGACGTTGTTCTTCAATGTCATCAGATACATTGCGATATAGAGGTTCATGAATGATAGACGCTGTTATTAAGAATGGACGATGAAAATTACCCATCGTGCAATTCGTTTGCTCAACATTTTATTAAAATTGACCCTTTTGTATATCGTCATCGACCATTCGAGAGCTGCACATGCATTGAACCAATTGTCCGTATATAAACAAAGTTTAAGAAAGAATTTGATTAATATACAAACTAGTCGAAAAACCACACGATCATTTGATGGATTAATTTGAGTCCAAACAAGAAACCAGAATTTAAATGTGAAAAAACACTGTGAGAAAAGAAGTAACTGGTGATGCAAGAAGATATATTCCACAACCAACTTCTCTTGAACTTTTGGTTCGAAATGCGAGAATGGAGAGACCACTATTGATTAATCCAGCAACAAATATAATTATCGTAACTGCTGAACTCCATTTAATCAAATTTGTTTGATCATTCATCGTTGTATATGGTTCGATTTCATAACACAAGATATCATCAAGTGTTAATCCAATGCCTTTTGCATAAAACTGACATTGATTGCCAAAGAAACGATCAGTGCAACTACACACTGTTACTCTTGGACACGTAGGATTATCTTGCCAACATTCAGCACAATTTTGACAGTGAGCATTGTGTCGACATTTTGAAGGAGCATGTTTAAACTTGATACAATTGGCATGATGCTCAGGAGTACAAAAGCACATATAAAACTCATCGAAGAAACATATCAGATGAACATGAGTTTGGTATATCATATGATAATGTTCAACTCGTCGAATTTCGGGTGACTCTACCAGTTCAGAATTCAAGAGTTCATTAACTGATGTACATCGTTGTTTGGAATCAATTGAAACGGAGATATTATATTTGTCGGATTGTTGAAAAGCACTCAAATAGTAACTGTTATCAATTTTCACAAAAACTGCTTGAGGTATTTCATTAACATACAGCAATATGGTGCGCTGAAACATAGCAATTTTCTGTGGGATAACCCTTATCCTACACAATGACCATTGTTGTTGCATAGATTTTCTGCACATGAAAGTGTGAGGAGGCAACGTGATCCTCCTTTATGCACAGGACAAACGCATATAGATCGATTACGAATCATCCCAATACAAATTGAATCAGATGAACAATCGCTACAACGAATGGGAATATCACATAGAGCACCGGACCAACCAATACTACATTGACAAAAATATTTTGCTTCAATAATATATTTCATGCATTCACAAATGTGACATTGAAGAGAAGGGTGTGGGTATGGGTGTGGGTGGGTGTGTATGTGGGTGTGCGTGTGCGTGTAACTTGCGCGCATAAAATACATCGACACTGCGCACCCACCCTCACCCACACCCACACACACCCCACACCCCACACCCACCAACACTCCACATCCACCAACACTCCACATCCACCAACACTCCATATCCACCCACACCCACACCCACACCCACACCCACACCGACACCCCACACCCCACCCACACACCCACACCCACACACCCACACCCTTTTTCATAAAACGATATTTATCGATGTAAAATTGAGTATGACTAAAGATAATTAATGGCGAATCTTCTAGGAGATCGTGCGCTCATTGTTGGAAGACTAACTGGATATAGAAAAACAATAAGTGATGTGATTGTGTATGTGACATTTTATTATCGCCAAAAAAGAAATAGGATCACTATAAAAGAAAGTAGAAACTAAGCAAGTAAAAGTTATTATGATCGTGCGATCAAGTGCTTTCTTTTAATAGCCCAGCTCGGATCATTGAGTAAGTTTTTGTAACTCGATTTTATGTATGACTTTGGTATCGACAAAGATGTTAAATAATCTTGGTTCAAGCCATTTTGCCCCGTCATGCTCATTTGATAAAAGGGAATCGGTGTAGAGTGAGAAAAATACTTCAGCCTGTTCGTTTAAATTTAGATGAACTCTTTGAAATAAAAGGAGTTGCTTGATTGAAGGTGTAGATTCTATTAATGGCGTTCTCGATGGTACTACAAGGGCAAGAACCAAATTGGGTGTGTGATGGGGGTGGGTGTGTGGATGTGGATGAGGATTTTTTATTACACCCACACCCACCCCACCCTCCACGCGCACTCACAACCACACCCTCAGTTGACAAACTTCTACTCACGTATATTGATTTTAATTCTTTTTTTTTGATGATAATAAAATATCACATCCATTGTTACACTCTTTGTTGTTTTCCTCTATCAAAGTAAACGTAAGATGATAAGATTCCCACTTCGCTTAACGTTCTTCATAAAATGTTTTCAGTTGCACTCTATTTTATGTCGAGAACTATCGTTTTATGAAAAAAAAAGTTTCAGCTCTCCAGTTTCAATTTTCTATTCAACTAGTTAGTATTTGATGAATATGACATATGAGGGTGATAAAATAATTCTCTAATTCTATTTATAATAATTTTAAAATGAGCTGGGATATGTATCATTACACATATTGTTCGACTGACACTCGACTGACCTCACTTGCTGAAAATAAATTTAGCTTATATCAGTTGAATAATTTTTTTAGAAAAACAGCAAACTCTAGTTTACTTTTATTTTTACTTAAGTTGTTTCAAATCTTACCGACTAAATTTTACAGAAAGAACAGAATGGAATGACGCTTCATTTTCTTTTTTTTTCTCATTCAGTCCGTCTGCGTGTACTGGCTGCAATTTTCCCGGAAGAACGTGGTACAACGATGAAAAAAAAATAAGTTAGTTTACTATTCCTGAACGTCGTCGCAAAAATCCTTGACTGCTGACTATTCCTATTGTAAAAGTAAAACTTTTAGTTTTTTTTCTGGGCATTTTTCTGTGCAGAATCTAAGTACTTGAGCGATCCAAATCTACTAATTTGACGTTTCTTATTTAAACCACATGTGTTATTCTAGGTAAATAAGCCTAATAATTACAGCTGCCACTTTTTTTTTCATTGGTTTTTCAGTAAAATGATTATACACTGCAGCATAAATTCTGAGGAAGTATACCTGCAACGTTGTTTTGCATTATAACCGCGCATACTTTGATGCATAACTACTTCACTTATAGTATTGATGGGTAACTGTTTTCACCAGACGTGATTCAAAAACATGTAGCTCGACATAGTACATACTAAATGCATCGAGTCAAATGAAAAAGTTAGCAGTTTACGTATTCCATCTGGAAACATTAGTTTAAAATCTTCGTAATAACATCTATGCAGTGAGCTTTTTCGCTAAGATGAGACAGGTAAAAGAGGAAAAATGTCGATGATCGAGTGGTAATGCACACAGAACCATCTATGAGTGCTAAACTATCAGAAAAAAACAATGAATTGCATATGCTTTCGTATATTCTATTGACATTTATGTATTCATAAAGATACTTTCTATTTCACTATAATTGCTACTAACGAAAGAGAAAATCTAACTACATGTACGAGAGTTGATTGTTATAACTATTACAATGTTTGTTTTTTGCTAATGGAAATATCAGAACACTTCCTACGTATAAGGAGGAGATACTATGGAATAGGAATTTCTCTTAAATCATGACAACACTCATATACATAGAACATACTTTTACAACTTATTATAGCCATGTTGCCGGAAGGTTCCTTGATACATTTCAGATTGATATGTTCTATCATGAGTATGGGAGAAACTTGATTTTGGTTCCCATATTAATACAACAAACCTTGGAAATGCGACAATCTATTTGTTTTTGATTATTTAGATAGTTATGGCTAGCGTAACTGGTGTTGGTTCTAATACCTATGACGATTACGATGATCTTGAAACATTCAGTCTTATTTGGCTTGATACAAAGAATCATCTCGACGAAAACCACAATTTTCAGCAAAGCTTACGTGGAATCATCAACTATATCAAGCTATTTAACGACGTAACAGAGTGTGTACGATATATAGAACACAAAAGTGCATACGATCGACTCTTTATCATGGCCAGCAAACAATACGCTCAACAAATTGTACCTTTGATTCATCAACTTCAGCAGGTATTAGCAATCTATATTTACAAAATTAGCGAGAAGAATGATGAACAAT